ATATATATATATATATATTAAGTATCATTCTTTTCTGTTCATGCCATGAACCGGAAAAAAATAATTATGTTTGATGTTAAATAGGGTTGTTCGTATTCATGCCTCGCAATAATAATGACAGAAATGTATGAATTTCATCCATACTTAACACTGACGTTATCGCCATCTTGAATTTCACTGACAACTTATAAACGGACCATGTAGGACACGGTCTATAAAGTACGCGAGAACGTCACAAGTGCAGTAATGTCAGAGAGAAAAGTGCGGGTTGAGACAAAGACAAAAGTTTCGAATAATAATACCCAAAGACATTATGTCGCCAAAATAGTGAGATTTGATTTTAAGTACCTTAAATAATGTCAATTATGTCAATCAAGTCTCTACTCGGTGTAAGTCGATCGATGATGATGATGAGATGCCAAGCCATAATGTTTGTGGGAATTAATATGTTGAGTATTTCCGAAACCTTGATGCTTGCTGTCACCAAAGCATCTGCATATACTGATGACCTACGAAATTATATTGAAATGTTGTGTCAATTATAGATATTACAAATTACCTCTAATGCTGCTATCTTCAGACTCAGTGAACCATGTAACGACGTGACTAAAATATTTAGAATATTATCTAGAGTCTATGAATATATTCCGCATTTAACAACCCAAGCACACATGTTGCATCTTACGCAATAGTCCGATAGATTGAACATCTGATACATATAAAGAAGTATACAATCCACGATAACAAAACAACCGAACGTACATCCTTGGGTCTTTTCAATATGGATTATGGTTTGTATGCAGTGCAATAAGCTTCAAAATCAGGAAGCTGTTATTAACAAACAGACATTTAATATTATGCATACATACCAATGTGATCGTGATTATTGTATGTAAAGACGATAAATAACGAAAATAATGACGATTTAATTAACTGTTGTTTTTTTTTCATTTATAATAATTAACAGTTATAACATTTGTTCTCAAAATCTTTATATTTTTTTCTCTGGTCGGATTAGAATAACATATAAAACGGACAAAGACTACACACGCAACATCTGTTCTTGTAATAATATAATTATGGGTAACAGGTTTTCCCGTTTATAAACCACAACTGAGAACAGTTTTGTCGCTACATTCTTCCGATCATGTTCAAAATTCCACAACTCATTCTGAAGTACCATTTTTTTTTCAAACTTCCCTGACATAGTCGCTGATTTGCTGATTTATTACCCACATAATGATTTCAAGATAGCGTTGACAGTTGGTTTAAAAACTAACGCGTTGTAGAGTTGGACTATCGCAATATATAATAATTACTTTGAAGCGTGTATGATATGCAGTGA